TCTTCAGGTTGCGTTAGAGTTGTCAGAAGTCGTCAGCAAGTGTGCCGGAAAGATGAGAAGGGAACTCCAGACAAAATAGTATTTGACTGCGGCGCACCAACGCCACCGCCACGCACCCTCGATCGATTCTTATTGCTTATAAGCGTTATAAGGGTCGGCCAATCTGAATCGGCCGATCCTTATGAAGTATGGAGATACCCTTTAACGTACTGAGACTGCCTTGCATGAGTCTGTACGACGCGTACTGCTGTCCGAGTTGTCCGACCGCCAACTACCGCGATTTTGTCGTGCACGATGCCTGCGTTATTGCCACAAAATATTTTCAATTTGATTGGCATAGACAACATTTATAATGATGTAACACATCTTTCAAAACTACTGTTCAGTAAGCCCAACCTCTTGCCAAGGCTCTACTCTTATACTTACTTATTATATTCAGCTAGATTTGGACTGACAGTGTGGAATCCAACCTCAGATAATTTCATAGTTTGTGGAATTATACGATAAGATCAGAAAATGGAGCCGAGATTTTGAAGCTACCTTTATATAAAAATTGAGTGATATAGTTCATTGGAAAATGTTGATTGCGGGTGACTACAAAGATAGTCTTGGGCTTTTACTATATTGAAGTTTAACTAAAAGACAATCGAACTAGCCAACTTTTGAATGGATTTGAAAGAATATTCAAGAGCTGATAATCATCCTCTTGTCTTAGAAAGTCAACAAGAAACTAACCTGGTGCATGAAATCTGGGTTAGCCTCATCACGATCTGGGAACTGTATAACAGTATTTGTTTCCATCATTATTTTTGCACAGCTTTCTGTCGTTCCACCAAGAATTCTGGAAATTATCAGTCCACAAGAAATTTGATAAAGTGAAGATTGTCGTTACCTCTTGGTGAACATTTCCTCATAATCGCTATATGTGATCTCCATAGTGAGTGTTACTTTCTCGATGTCAACAGCATCCTAGAATTACCGAATCACAGAGCATCCTTTTTGAGTTTTCTAATTAAAAATAAACGGGAGATGACCTTGTAAGATAAATTCAACTACACCTTACTGCAGGAACTTGCCAGAACGATTCACTCGACGAAAGTGCAAATAAATATAAACGCAAAGCTGACTGACCTGTGCAATAACCTTCCTGCCAGCTCGCTGCAGATTTGTTGGTTTCATGAGATATTCGCGATAATGTAGTATATCTGCCCGTCGTTTGAGCTCTTTTGATAAATGTGTTCGTCTACAGTGGTCTATACTCATCTATGCAAAAATAAATTACAGAAGGTATATATTGGTACGTGACTTTCAAAAGCTTACTTTTGTTGACTGTTGACTGATGTGGAAAAACTGCTCGGGTTGCTCGAGTATTTGATGTAGGGAAGGTCTAACGGA